CTCCCCACCAGGCGACGGTATCCCAGTCTCACGGTTGTGTTTTTCCCTCTGAACCCTGGTGATATAGGTCCAGCACTGCTCCAAGGACACCCCCCTGTACCAGGTTCCTCCTTTCGGAGGACAACGCACGGTGAGACAAGATATCGTGATGGTGACGATAGCTGTTTTCGGCTTACCTAGGTCTCTTCACCGACGCGAGAAAGAGAACTCGATGGATTTGAGCGATCATTACCTTTCGGCCTTGGCCTCTCGCCAACGCAATGTAGGAAGACAACCGGAGTCAATTGATGGTCGTTGTTTTCAGCCTACCTAGGTCTCTCGCCAACACAAGGAAGAAAAGCCGAGGTCGATGGAGCCGTAGCGAGTCTCTGTAGACCGTTGGCCTGGCAATCGGGGGTGGAGTTCTTTCTCACTTTAGAAGACGACGTTGGTCTACCCTACGCTAATGTACTTTTGTGGTGCCGATATCCTCCCTTATGAATATCTGCCGGTTTCCATTGCCTCAGGTACTCCAAAGCTGCGCAAGTGTGTCCCGCGTGTTTTCAGCTTGCCTCGCTGCCGCTGAAACGAAGCTCATTGAAAGTCTGTGTTTTTGGTGTGGAACCGCCCACCATCGCTCCTCGCGTTTTTTTGTACAGAAGGGTTTGTTTCGAAATTCGTTCTGAATTTTGTGGTGTGTTTTTTCATCGTCTTGGCGGTGGTGGTTTGTCGTCATCATCGTTTAGTCGAAACCCTTCTCTTGTTTTCTTTTGTCCGGAGTATATCTGTATGAAACGTTGACGTTTTTTTTTCTTTCTCGCCCAAATCCACTGCAGCCATGAGAGCGACATTCCAATTGAAGGTTGTTTCTGCACTTCTCTTTGTGTGTATTCTTTTGTCTGCCTGCCATGTTGGTCCGCGCTGTCCTCTACCTTGGCCTTGCAGGTGAGGGGGTTCGCAGAGGGGGGACTGGGTCGGGCGAAGGAGTACGCCACCAGCACGGCCGAAGTCAGGGTTCCTCTGCGGAACCTCTTCGGAACCCTCCCGACACAGGTGAGGAGGGGAAGGATCGATGAAAGGACCACGAGCGAGTCGTTGTTGTTGGTGGTGGTGTTGGTGTTGATGGTGTCCAGAGCGAGTCGTTGTTGTTGGTGTTGTTGTTGGTGTTGATGGTGTCCAGAGCGAGTCGTTGTTGTTGTTGGTGGTGGTGGTGGTCGTCGTGTCCAGAGCGAAATTGTTGTTGGTGTCGTGATGGTGTTGCTGTTGTTGCTGTTGCTGTCTTTGTTGTTTGGGGGCCTGTCCTATCCACAACTGCTGTATCATGAAACAACTCCTCGAGCTCGGTCTTGCTCGGGATGCGTAGACCGACCGCTGAGTGCCCCCCTCCCCCCCCCCCCCCCCCCCCCCCCCCCCCCCCCCCCCCCCCCCCCCCCCCCCCCCCCCCCCCCCCCCCCCCCCCCCCCCCCCCCCCCCCCCCCNCACCAAATCACCCGCAAAGGTCGTTTGATTCTGGCCGTTAACCTTGACGCCCGTTTTCCCGCCGAAAACAAACAGGCGGTGCTTTTCTTGGACCTCGCCGCGTTTCGATCTGTCACCTGGCCGCGAGGGGCCGCCGCTGCTGCTGCTGCTGCTGTTGCCGGCAACCCGCATCAGCGGCGGCGGCACCACGGGTGGGAGACCGCGCGAGGCGCTCACGGTGGAGGTATCGAGGGAGACTCGGCCGAGGGTGAGGGGAGGGGGGGAGTGGGGGGGCGGTGTTCTCATATTGTTCATGCCGTAGTCGTCACACCATTGACCTCGCATCCCTACAAAGCCGGGACGGAGCACGCCGGGATCTCACCGGACCAGGCTCTCACATCACCAAGCGCGAAGCGCCGTGAGGTATTCGGCGAGTCGCATGAAGGGTGCGCTGCATCCTGCTAGGGGTGTTCGGCATCTTGTGCTTCCTTCCTGCGTACGGATGACAGCTGCGTCTGACTTAGTTTATTTTCTGATGCTTTCACTTCCAGACAGTTGTAAGCATTGCTGTGTAGCTGCCTCGAGGGTGCTTGACCATTTTAATACAACGTGGTGCGATCATCCCCCTTGCGCGGAGNACGAAGTGAATTGGCTTGTTTTACAACGTCATTGCCGAGCGACGAAAACCCAACCCCGATGGCAAACACCGAGGGGGTGGCTTGCTTTACAACGTCGTTACCAAGCGACGAAAACCCATCCCCGATGGCAAACACCAGAGGGGGGGGGTTGTTTGCGGTCGTTTTTTAGAAGGTGGCATTTTTCTCTGCTTGCTTTCTTATCGTTAGGAGGTTCACACTGTGTCGCTCAATTTTTGCGCTGTAGTTTGTCGTGTCAAGTGCCAAGAGAGACAACTACCAGCACCTGGGGTCACGCTGCTTCCGTTTGTATGTGTGGCGAAAGTGTGTCTCCCTCGGCCTCTCACCGCCCCCGAGGCGATGGCTACCGTAGGTAACATGACGCAAAATACCACTTCCCCCGGACCGAGTTTCAAAGCTGGACTGCTCCAAAGTAGAAAGAGTGGCGATGCCGAAAATGGCGGCGTTGGAACCGCTGTCTCGTCGAGGTCTTTCCGAAAAACCTTGTATTTGATTTTGGCACCCGCGTCGTCTTGGAGTTGTCTAATCGAGCTTTGAAAATCGGTGTAGGGGGTGTGGTATCTTGCGTCATGTTACCTACGGTACTGTTCCCGTCCCCAATGAAAGGGGTATCATCTTATTTCATTTCTACAGCAGCAGAAGCATTCTCTTGCTGCTTCTGCACAGCAGCAAGTTGGTCAGTCACTGCTGCGGTTGAATCACCCCTACTGCTGTACTGCTGCTGCACACCAGTCAGCCGGTCAACCACTGCGGTTGGACGTCACTCTCTAGATTTCTTATTTCTTCACGTCAGTCGCCAAGCGTTGTCCTTGCTGCGCGTGAACGCTCTGACAGGTCGACATCTCGGGCAGCAGCAGCAGCAGCAGCAGCAGCAGCAGCAGCAGCAGCAGCAGCAGCAGCAATCGGCGGAGATTCTCTCGCCGCCACCGGCAAACGGGGGTGCCGTTGTCGTTGCTGAGGGTGGCGGAGTGCCACCCCTCTCTGCGGGGGCATCACCAGCCGAGGGTGAGCGGCGGGGGGGGGGGG